GGCTACAATAAAGCATCTGAAAAATATGCGCAGTTAACGAAAACGTGCACATAAACAAGGAATGTTGAATTGTCATTGAGGTATAACTAATATAAGCATGGTAATATAGTTATCTTTTTATATACATAATGCTGATAAATAGATAAATGTAAATGAATAAGCTTTACGATATAGAATCAAAACTTAATCAACTGAAATTGCAAATTACACATTTTTCCTGTGCAAATTATACTCAAGTGATAGTAAAATAAAGTAATAAACTCTATTGTTAAAACTTCTTGTATAGAAAAGTTGGCAGCATAACAAACAAAAGGGAAAAGTAGCACCAAAAAGGTGGACTTGGTCCATTTGATTTATAGCGGGTTTGGTTTACCAGACGCATTGTTGTATTGAGCAGGTGGCTGACTGTAGTACCCGGGATAAGAGAAGTTTTCTGGGGGAGAATACCCTGTTGTTGGATGATACCCTGCTGTTGGAGGATAACCTGCCGGTGGATACCCTGCTATTGGAGGATGCTCTCCTGTTGGAGGATAACCTGTCGGTGGATACCCTGCTGTTGGAGGATGCTCTCCTGTTGGAGGATAACCTGTCGGTGGATAACCTGTCGGTGGATACCCTGCCGAAGGATACCCTGTCGAAGGATACCCTGTCGGAGGATACCCTGCTGTTGGGGGATACCCTGTCGGTTGGGGGTATTGTTCTGGAGGTAGTTTGCAGGCAGGTGGGTTGGGTGGTACTCCGTAGGTGTTGTTGGCGTAGTAATTATCACCAGTATTAGCAGGCCCATCATTATAATATACATGATTAGGGCCTTGCTGATTAGGAATAGTGTTTTGTGGGCCACACGAAGGATTTGATTGAGGATTATGGACATTTCCTTTATTCCCAACGGCCTGAGATCCAGAGGCGCAGCAGAGTCCGCAACAAGCTAACAAGGTGCAGCACTGTAAAAGCTCAAGGCAGATAAGCTCATTGTCGAGATCCCCAAAACATGTCTCTCGGTCGTAGTACAAACAGGCTTTTAATGGCTGATTTTGTGCAACTGCTTCCGATGCAGAGACCTTCGTAGTCTCGCGTACCAATTCCCCCACTGTCAACCCCAGCGGAACCGCCCTCAAGTCATCCTCGCCATGTTCCGATGCGGCTTTGACAAAGAAATGATAACTTGGCGTCGCATCCGGCAACGCGCGCGATTGTGAGCTTCCGCCCTGCCACCAGCGAAACCACGATGAAGACATCCCAAACTCGCTTATGGTCTTCCCACCGGTGAGTTTTTCATGCAAAATCGGTATAAGATCCCTTATCGCCATCCCAGACGGGACGTCAAGCTTTAGGGTTTCATCCACACCACTTTTCCCTGGAGTGCGTGTCCGAAGGGTGACCTGCATCAATCGCTGTACATCGGGAGGGGAGGGCATGGCAGACATCTCACCGTCTGTAAATCGCTCCATCCTGTCCGTAAGCTCTTAAACAACAATTACGTTTTTGAGGAAAAGCTCGTCTCTTTTTTCGCTTAAACAAATAAACCTACCTAATAGCTTTACAAAAAAAAATGACTTTAAAAACCTTCTAACTTGCTTATCCTAATCATTATTTAAAAAAAAAATGATAAATTTCGTGGACGCGACAAAAAATAAGATCCCGATCAAGTAGAAAAAATATAAAAAATCTTCTCATTTAATCTATTAGAATGTATTTACCCACATCCATAAATATAACTGCACATTTATGACAAACATCACACTTCATCCCTCATAGACTGGTGACAAATCAATACTACATTGTACCCCACAGAGGGCTACAAGAGACTGAATGAAAACAATACATCCGGTGAAAATCTCTGCCAGGCGCCTGAGCCGTTCGCGACGACGTGTTTCAGGCGATCACGCGTGGCCCACAATAATCTTAGAAAAAGTGTTTAAATACACGCTTCAATCTCATAGCACCTAATGCGGCTGGAAACTATGGAAGGTAAATACATTCATATAGTGGATTATTGTAATACCCTGTTTCCAAATGTAAGCTGTGATGGATTTATTGCCGCCCGCGTTGTGCAGTAACCTTCCTTCCCTCTCACTAAAGACAACTCGTTTCAATATACAAG